ATTAAGGACTTAAACCGAGGTTCCACTGTATCTCTTTCCTCGCATTTCCATCGCGGCAGCTCCCTTTGCCGGTCTGCTGGAGGTTGCTAAACCTATTGCATCTTGCTTCGGTGAGGTACAGCGACCTGGTATCTCCCAGCAGAGGAATTAAGAGGTTCACGCTTGGCAGCAAAGAGCTTTTCGAAGCGAGGCTTAATGGTGCGTGGCCCCCGCCGATTGAGCTAAAGATGCTGAACCCCCCCCCAAAAGATGAGCTGACAAATGCCTCAAATGCCTCAAATGCCTTCAAATCCCATATTGGCCTGAATATACGCCTCACTTTTTTCCACATTGCGACCATTAATAGTTAAAGTGCGGCTTAAATTCACAACCTTGTAAAAATGGGCTTTTGTGATATCGCTGCTGAAACAGACATATAGTAAGCGGAACGGGTGTACATGCCTGTGGAATTTTAAGGGAGCGGCTTATATTCTGGTATTGTCTTTCTCTCCCCCCCCCCAGTGATTTTTAAAGGTGTGATTTATTTGGGGGTGTGGCTTATATTTGGGCCAATATGGTATATTATTGAATTGTTGTTGTTTAGTCGTTTAGTCGTGTTCGACTCTTCGTGACCCCATGGACCAGAGCACGCCAGGCACTCCTGTCTTCCACTGCCTCCCGCAGTTTGATCAAACTCATGCTGGGAGCTTCAAGAACACCATCCAACCATCTCATCCTCTGTCGTCCCCTTCTCCTTGTGCCCTCCATCTTTCACAACATCAGGGTCTTTTCCAGGGAGTCTTCTCTTCTCATGAGGTGGCCAAAGTATTGGAGCCTCAGCTTTAGGATCTGTCCTTCCAGTGAGCACTCAGGGCTGATTTCCCTAAGAATGGATGCGTTTGATCTTCTTGCAGTCCATGGGACTCTCAAGAGTCTCCTCCAGCACCATAATTCCAAAGCATCCATTCTTCGGCGATCAGCCTTCTTTATGGTCCAGCTCTCACTTCCATACATCACTACTGGGAAAACCATGGCTTTTACTATACGGACCTTTGTTGTCAAGGTGATGTCTCTGCTTTTTAAGATGTTGTCTAGGTTTGCCATCACCTTTCTCCCAAGGAGCAGGCGTCTTTTAATTTCGTGACTGCTGTCACCATCTGCAGTGATCATGGAGCCCAAGAATTATTATTGAATAGCGCTTCCCTGTTCTCAGTGGAAAAATATTGGAGGGTAGGCTTCTGGCCTTACATTCTTAGGTCTCTTGCTTTCAAACTTCTGAATGATTCCTACAAAAACTGACCTCCATATGTTAGTGTGAGCAGCTGCTTTCCATGTGGAGTCTTCTAAGGGGCGTGTGAGGGGTGGTGGGCAAAAGTTCAGGGACCAACATCTCTCTCAAACAACTACTTGAAACCAGTGGCTTACCAGGTTTTGCTGGGCTCCAGCACCCATCAGCTCCAGCCACTGTGACCAGCTGTCGGGAATAATGGGAATTGTAGTCCGGCAACTTCGGGGGGGGGCACACGTTCCCCACCCCTGTGCTAAAGCCATATTATCATAGTCTGCTAGAGTGTGCCTGAGTTGTACCGTTGTACCGCCTGTGTGTTGCCTAGCAACCAGTGCTAGGATGAGCGTTGTGCAGTCCAGCCATCACTGTCAGACGTATCAGGGTTCTGCTAAGTTTGGGCCACAAAGCTGAATCCTCAGGTATCGGATTCCAGCTAAAGGATGCAAATGTAGAAATGAGTCGCTTTATGCACAGCTGAGAAGTTTGCTTTATTTCTCTCCACTGCTATATGTGTGCAAGGCTGTCATCACACTGTAGTTAGCGTGGCTGCTGACAGATGGCGCTGTCCCTGCAAACTGCAGCCTGGTGGCAACTGGGAAGAGGGGAAAGCAGCACGACAGGGCAAAATTCTGCAGTTCAGTTTTCCAACAGAGTTTTATGCATCTACAATGGGCAAAGTGTGTGTGTTAAAATGCGTGCGCTTGTGAAAACAGCATATCAAATGCATGATATCAGGGGAAAGACGAATGTCTGGGGAAATATGCTTTGCAAAAATGTGTATGTTAGAGGAGAAATTTGCACCAAAATGCTGGTGAGTTTTCACGAGGACCTAAAAATTACAATTGCAGACTTGACCCGGGCTAATGGCAGTCATCTCCAGAACACCCAGGGGCTAAGGCCCTATCTCAAGTGCCATCTCATTCAAAGGAAACTCAGAACCCAGTAGAGTGCCTGTGGAACTTCCCACCACTTGAGGAAACAGTGAGGAATTCCACATTTAGTCTGGGCACAGGAAATTCTGGGCTATTAAGCAACCTCCTCAAGTGTTGGTGCTGACCTTTAAAGCCCTAAACGGCCTCGGCCCAGTAGGAGCATCTCTACCCCCGTCGTTCAGCCCAGACACTGAGGTCCATCTCTGAACGCCTTCTGGTGGTTCCCTCACTGTGAGATGTGAGGTTACAGGGAACCAGGCAGAGGGCCTTCTTGGTAGTGGCACCTGCCCTGTGGAACGCCCTCCCACCAGATGTCAAGAAAATAAATACAGTGGTACCTCAGGTTAAGTACTTAATTCGTTCTGGAGGTCTGTTCTTAACCTGAAACTGTTCTTAACCTGAAGCACCACTTTAGCTAATGGGGCCTCCTGCTGCTGGAACACAATTTCTGTTCTCATCCTGAAGCAATGTTCTTAACCTGAAGCACTATTTCTGGGTTAGCGGAGTCTGTAACCTGAAGCGTATGTAACCTGAAGCGTATGTAACCTGAAGCGTCTGTAACCCGAGGTACCACTGTAACTATCTGACTTTTAGAAGACATCTGAAGGCAGCCCTGTTTCGGGAACTTTTTAATGTTTGATGTTTTATCGTGTTTTTAATATTCTATTGGGAGCCGCCCAGAGTGGCTGGGAAAACCCAGCTAGATGGGCGGGGTATAAATAAAATTATTATTATTATTATTATATTATTATTATACACACAGACACATACAAATTGCAAACTCGTGTAGAAATGTGGAGAACTGGACTTAAGACTGAGGAAAGCAAAAGAGACTGAAAGAAACCGAAATTGAGATTTACCTATAGACCCTCCTGCACCCCAGAAAATGAAATATATGGGAAAGTTCCCTTGGTGGCACTTTCAAATAGAGGGGATATGGGGTATTGCGGTGTGTCCATTTTCTCTCCTGCCCTATTTCCCCTCCCACTGGTGCCCCCAAATATTGGTGGCGGCAAAAAGCGCCCTTCTAACTGACAGCTGTTTGGTTCAGCACATGTGCAGAGAGAGCTATGATGGGGGAATTCTAGTACTCCTTTCTTGGGACTTGGATTCCAAATATTTACACGGAAGGGATTATTGCTCAGTTGGATGGTGGAGGGGGGGGATGGGATGGAGAGATCTGGAGGAACATGCAGGAGATTAGCAAGTAAAGGAAATATTTACTCTGGGGCCTTAAGTCTTCCGGAGCTTCTGGAATGTGTGGTGCAACTTGGGGGAGGAAGAACAGGAGCTACAGGTGCTTGGATGGGCAGAACAAATTTGGTCTCCCAAATCAGTCTACTTCCAAAAGCAGGCATTCGGAGAGTAACAATCTAAGCGGGGCTTGACACCGAGGCCCCATCCTGTCATGCTCAGCTCTCCCGCGGGTCTTTAGCCTAAGGCAGGGGTCTGCAACCTTTAAGACAAAAAGAGCCACTTGGACCCGTTTCCGAAGGGGAAAAAAAAGGGAGCCGCAAAACCATTGCGACATTTAACGCATGCACACCGCTGCCCTCCGATCTGACAGCGGGTGGGAAGGTGACGTCGGGACGATGCGTGACTAATGCATGCACCGCCCCCATGCGACGTCACAGCCAGTACAGCGCCCGCCACAGTGGGGAGTGTCGGGGCGCACAATGTGCCTCCTCCCCTCGCTAGTATCCGCCCCGGAGCCGCGGCAAAGGTGTAAAAGAGCCACATGCGGCTCCGGAGCCGCGGGTTGCAGACCCCTGGCCTAAGGTTACCAGATTTTTTTCAATGAATCTGATGGCACTTTTCAACTTCAATGGATTGGGGACTGATTTGTAAATCCGGGGACTGTCCCTGGGAAATGGGAACATCTTGTAACCTTACTTCAGCCATATATTTTCAAGTTCGTCCCTATAATCATATGGACTAGCTACTTGATTCTCTTTTGAGTGGAAGGCTGTAGGCTGGAGAGCAGAAAGTCAGCTGGAAAGAGGGATTATAGCCTATAGGCTCGCCCCACTTTGAGCCTCTGGGAAAAAGATTTTGGCTGCAATTCTAACCCTGCTTACCTGGGAGTAAGCACTATTGAATTCAGCAGGACTTATTTCTGAATCAACTTGTTTAGGATTGGAACGTTAGCTGGCTTGTATTGGCTCAACAACATGGCAATAGAAAGTTGTGTACGCCTTGGAAACTTTCCCCCAAGATTCCCTGGAGATATTTTGGACTACAACTTCCATCAGACACAGCTGTGCTGCGCTGGCTGGGGCTGATGGGAGTTGTAGGACAGAGGTTGGATGGCCATCTGTCATGGATGCTTTAGTTGAGATTCCTGCATTGCAGGGGGTTGGACTAGATGACCCGGTGACCCCTTCCAGCTCTATGATCCTAGGTTGGCGAAGGTTTCTTCCATGCTGTGTTTAAAGGTAAAGGGACTCCTGACCATTAGGTCCCGTCATGACCGACTCTGGGGTTGCGGTGCTCATCTCGCTTTACTGGCCGAAGGAGCCGGCGTACAGCTTCCAGGTCATGTGGCCAGCATGACTAAGCTGCTTCTGGCGAACCAGAGCAGCACACGGAAACGCCGTTTACTTTCCCGCCAGAGCGGTACCTATTTATCTACTTGCACTTTGACGTGCTTTCGAACTGCTAGGTTGGCAGGAGCAGGGACCGAGCAACGGGAGCTGACACCGTCGCGGGGATTCGAACCGCCAACCTTTTGATCGGCAAGTCCTAGGCTCTGTGGTTTAACCCACAGCGCCACCCGCGTCCCCTATGCTGTGTTTATGTGAGAGTTAAGCTGCAGACTCGCCAGGCCCTGTGTGCATTTTAAAGTACAGCCACGCAGGCGTGCCGGATAGAAACTCGCAGCTTTTTATTTCTACACCTTCAAAGATTCACAGTAAAGCTTCACAATCGAACCCTGTGCGCTAATCGACGCCGGAAGCGTGAAACTGGACAAACTTAATATCCGTTATCCGTTTTGGTACGTTAGCAAACAAGGCAGAGCTGGGACTGGCACAGGTTGCTCAACATGCAGACAAACCCAATGCTATACAGTCACATTTATCTTCTCTCTCTCTCTCTCTCTCTCTCTCTCTCTCTCTCTCTCTCCATCCTCTTCCTCTGTTTTGCCCTCTTGGTGGTTGAATTACAGACGCCCTTTTAATCTGATCTCCCGTCCTCTTTAACCAATGAGGAAACGCAAAGCAGAGCATCCCTATGGAAAGGGTCATCGCTCCCCTGATATAGAGCACCCGCTTTGCATGTTCAAGGTCCCAGGTTCACTCCGCAGCAGAATCTCCCAGTAGGGCTGGAATTGTCTCTTGCCTGAAACCTTGGAGGGCAGCTGCCAATCAGTGTAGAGACATTCCTGAGCTAGACGGACCAATTGGCCACTTCCCATGTCCTCCTGGAAATTTCCCTATGGGGGATGCCATTGTAGGGGAAAAGAATCTCTCCCCTCCAAAGACCTGTTCCTTCACCACCACCCGCACCTGCTCCAACCTAACCCCACCAGTTCCTGGATCCTTGCTGAGATGTTCTGCAGGTGGGACCTCATTTCAGCTCCTCCCCTGAGTCGTCACCCCGTCCCTCTGCGCCCACTGCCAGGAAGCACCCCGTCCGTAGGGTGGCTTTGGCTCTCAGCAGGCGGAATAGTCTTGGAAAGGGATGCCGTCCTGCGTCCCCAGCGTGGCAGATGCTTTCTGCGTCCTGGACCACCAGGGCCACCAGAACTGGGAGTAGAAAAAGTTCCGGATGCTGCGGAAGACGGTTTTGCGGAAAATGATGAAGAGCCACGGGTCCACGATGGGGTTGAAGGCGCTGAATCGGAAGGCTTTCATGTCCTCATTCTCGATGTGGTCAGGATTGATGCCCCCAATGTAAGCCCGGATCTGTGGCGGAAGAGAAGAGAAAGAGTCAGGAGAGGGGGGAAACAGCACAAGATGTAGGTCATAATATTATGATGGAAGATTGGGGAAAATTATGGAAAACTGATTTAAAATTTACAGATTGTTCCCTATTGAAGGAGAATTGCATGAAGATAATGTACAGATGGTACACAACACCAGTGCAGTTAGGGAAAATGTATAAAACTAGTTCAAATATACGTTGGAAGCGTAAGGAAAAGGAGGGGACATTTTATCATATGTGGTGGGATTGTAAAGTAATTAAAAAAATTTGGGAAATGATATACAACGAATTGAAGAAAATGTTCCATTTGACATTTGTTAAAAAACCTGAAGCATTTTTGTTAGGGATTGTAGGGAAAGATCTGCCAAAAAAGCAGAAAAACATCTTCATGTATGCGACAACGGCCGTGAGAGTTCTGGTAGCACAAGGATGGAAGACTGAAGAAACTCCAACTAAAGAATCATGGCAAGAAAAATTGATGGACTATGCAGAACTGGCAAAACTGACATATAAGCTACAGGACAAGGATAACTGTGACTTTAAAGATGAATGGGAACCCTTTACAAAGTATCTGAAGACGCAACAAAGTGAACTGGACTCCTTGGCTGGGTTTGAATAAACATTCACAAACTTTTTATTGATAATAATCAGCTAAATAGTTTGAGGATCTATACAACTTTGTTGCATGCAGAAAACAGCAAAGACTGGAACTGAGGGAAGTCAGGGGGTGGGTGGGTTTTGTGTGGGAGAGTGGAGAGAGGGAGGGAGGAAAAATGGGGGGGGAATAAGGATGATATGTTTCTGGATAATATGTTTTGCTTTAATTTTGAATAAAATTATTTTTTTTAAAAAGGAGAAGGGGACAGCAGTAGCTGCTTCCAGCCCAGTACCATGTGGGTGCCTGAAAGGAACCCCTGGCTGCTTTGGGCAAGTTCTCTGCCCGCCCTCCCACCTTCTTTGCAAACAGCTTTGTTAGATCACAGCCAACTAATGCACACAGAGAGTCTTGGGTTCAATTTCTGGCACCTCCAGTTGCACCTCAGGAGACGAGTGAAGACCCCGGGAAGACAAGACAAGCAAGCTATACCTGAAGGAGCGTCTCCTCCCCCATTGTTCAGCCCAAACACTGAGGTCCAGCTCCAAGGGACTTCTGGTGGCTCCCTCATTGCGAGAAGTGAGGGTACAGGGAACCAGGCAGAGGGCCTTCTCGGTGGTGGCGCCCGCCCTGTGGAACACCCTCCCACCAGATGTCAAGGAAATAAACAACTATCTGACTTTTAGAAGACATCAGAAGGCAACCCTGTTTAGGGAAGTTTTTAATGTTTGATGTTATATTGTGTTTTTAATATTTTGTTGGGAGCCGCCCAGAGTGGCTGGGGAAACCCAGCCAGATGGACAGAGTATAAATAATAAATTAATACTACTATTATTAAGCTACTTGGAGAAAAACGATAAGTGGTTTTCATATTAAGTCTGTATTCGACTCATCCCAAATTGGCAAAAGACATGGTTTGGAAGTTTAAAAGGACCAGTACACCTGCCATTTCAGGAATTTCCTTCCTTGCCTCTTCCTCAAATCTGTACACATGTTTGCCATCAGTTGGTTCCTCTTTCATGACACCCCCTGCAGCGCATCAGGGAACCAACTCTATTTATATATCTGCAAGGCGGACTGGAGTCAAGAACCATCAGCAGGCTGTTTTTAAGGAGTTTTCTCAAATATTTGCAGAGGCAGATCTAAAAGGGAGAGCAAGCCACAGCTTTCCCCACAACACATTAGTCGACATGCTTCGAAGACCCAAGCAGATTTCGAAGAAGGGAGATGTTATGTACTGAAGTTCTCACCCTGGGCCAGCAGGGGGATACTGTAGATAGTTATGCAAATGAAGGATCGAAAAGTGACGTTCAGTTCAGTGATTGGATAGTTTCAGAAAATGGCAACAGTTACATTGTTCTGGAGCTCTATATAAGCAGGCTGACTGAGCTCCTCAGTTTAGTTCTGTTCCAGCTTACAAATAAAGAGCTGCTTGGAAGAATCGCTGTGTCGTCTGATATGTTCGCCCACAACTTAACAGGAGAGGCAAAAACAGATGGTTTAACAGCAAAGAGCATATAAAAAAGACAAGTCGTCTGTACATTCTGGATCTAACCCAACCCTCGAGTGAGTTCAAATTCCTGGTGACTGCCTCCTGCACTTCAGGCATGCTTAGAAAATAGTGAAATTGCTGAGTGTGTAACCAATTTAGGCCCAGATCTTGTTAACCGGCCGAAAGCCCCTCTTCTGATAGAGGGGATTTTTTGCTCACGAAAGCCCATCGTGTGAACACAGCGCAAGGGTTGTTGTTTTCAATTAAAAAGCTGGCAACTCTCACGGTGACCAAACGCTGAGAGTTGTGAAATTGTTCTGAGAGGGAAGTGTGACTAAAACAAAGAAAGTCCCTCCGCGCTCAGCGAGCTGCGTGTAGCAATTTGCTTGAGAGGGAGATTTCCTCATGCCTCGAGAATCTTAGGGGGCCGGCTGTGATCCTTTTGCTGTGGCTTCCGCAAGAGCTCAGTGGAGATCCAGGCGGGTGGACCACCCCACTGATGGTTGCAGGCTTCTTCCATATCCCATTTCACGACAGAGAAGAGATGGGGTCTTTAGCCTAGTAAGAATACAGGCCTGCAAGCTTTCGTTGCTCAAACCACTGTGAATCAATTCTAGCTCTAACTGATTCACCACTGGGAACATGTTTCTTTTTTCTTTTCTTTTCCTTTTCAAATAATCTTTATTAGTTTTTCAATTAGATACACCACATACAAATACTGTATTACATTTTACATTTACACTTGCTCTTCAGAGCTGACTTCCCTCCTCCTTTCTTCAGGTTTTTTATATCACATATAATTTTATCACATTATTTTCTTCCATTTTATATATTGTTATATAAATATATAGTTATATATTTTCTTCCATTTTATATATTGTTATATATTTGTTATATAAACAAATAAATCCTCATATTTATACAATTCTTGTTGTCTGCCTGTATTCATTTACCACTACTGTTAGTTACAATAGTTTCCTTATACATTTTGTTTCTTATTATTTTCATTATCCTTCACTTTTCTTAATCTTTCCCGTTATGAGGTTTTGTTTCCAATTCTACTGGTTTCACTATTTCATCTTATCTTTCCTATATACAACATAATTTCCCCCCATTCTTTTTGAAATGTTTCCTCACCCTGTTGTTGAATTTTCCCTGTTAGTTTGGCTATTTCTGCATATTCCATTACCTTCTGTCGCCATTCTTCTACGGTTGGTAATTGCTGCTGTTTCCAAACCTAGGCTAGCAGTAACCTCGCCGCTGTTGTTGCATATAAAAACAGTTTCTTATCATTTTAACTATATCTTCTCCTACCATTCCTAACAAGAATGCCTCTGGCTTTTTCCAAAACGTATATCTAAAGATCTTCTTTAGCTCATTATATATATATATATATATATATATATATATATATATATATATATGTTTCAATATATGGGTTAAGAGTAAGAATCATAAAATTGTAGATCTGGAAGGGACCCCAATGCTAAATGTCATGATGCCATGACATAATTTAAACTACATTACTGTATTTTAAAGGGACGTGGGCGGCGCTGTGGGTTAAACCACAGAGCCTAGGACTTGCTGATCAGAAGGTCGGCGGTTCGAATCCCCGTGACGGGGTGAGCTCCCGTTGCTCGGTCCCTGCTCCTGCCAACCTAGCAGTTCGAAAGCACACCAGTGCAAGTAGATAAATAGGTACCACTCTGGTGGGAAGGTAAATGGCGTTTCTGTGCGCTGCTCTGGTTTGCCAGAAGCGGCTTAGTCATGCTGGCCACATGACCTGGAAGCTGTATGCCGGCTGGCTTGGCCAATAAAGCGAGATGAGCACCTCAACCCCAGAGTCGGCCACGACTGGACCTAATGGTCAGTGGTCCTTTTACCTTTACCTTTACTGTATTTTAATATTTTGTTGTAAGCCGCCCAGAGTGGGTGGGGTATAAATAATAAATTATTATTATTATTATTATTATTATTATTATTATTATTATTATTATTATTATTTAGTCCAACCCCCTGCAAGGCAGGAATCTTAGCTAAAGCATCCCTGACAGATGGCTGTCCAACTTCTGCTTAAAAACCTCCGAGGAAGGAGAGCTCACCACCTCCTGAGGGAGTCTGTTCCTTTCTCTTCCCCCTTCTATTCCTAGGTTATGCTTTGCAATTGCTTCCGCATTCCTGATATGCCAACACAGATTTTTTAGAAAAACCAAAAACAAGAAGTACTCTCAGCATGGGCAGTTTTGAATTGTTTTAGCTCTTTAAAAAAATAATAATGTTACAGTGGTACCTCGGGTTACAGACGCTTCAGGTTACATACGCTTCAGGTTACAGACTCCGCCAACCCAGAAATAGTACTTCGGGTTAAGAACTTTGCTTCAGGATGAGAACTGAAATCGTGCTCCGGGGGCGCGGCAGCAGCAGGAGGCCCCATTAGCTAAAGTGGTGCTTCAGGTTAAGAACAGTTTCAGGTTAAGAACGGACCTCCGGAACGAATTAAGTACTTAACCCGAGGTACCATTGTATATGTGATGTATTGTAAGACTATTAATAAAGCTTGTTACATTGCAAAAAAAGAGAGAAAAGCGCTAGTTGCCAATGACCTTTTTACAATACCTGAACGACCGATTTACAATATTAAGTCTGTATCTGGGAGCGTCCACAGTGGGGGTGGGGGTGGAGGGTGTTTTTGATTTTTTGCCGGTGGATGAGGAGAGCAGATCCCTCTTTGTGCTTCAGTTCATCCCCAACCTTCCTGCATATAATATAATAAGTTAAATCCAGACTCCAGAGAGGTAGCTTAATGATTCTCGCACCCTGGGATGTTATCACGCAGGAAACCCCCGGCTCCTTCCGCTGCCACAACCGTAATCATACCAGAAATAATCCCGCCG